ACTAAAAGTGAAAGAGTTTTAACACGAGGCTCGGGGACAGCTGGAGGAATAGCACTTGGTAGCTCCTCTCTCCCTCCCCAAATTGGTAATTACAAACGTCCCAGGTGAGAGGACGGTTGCCTCGAAGAGAGAGGGAGGCAGGAGGTCAGAGATCAAACTGGAAAGTGATCTCTAGCGAGCAGGGGGTCTTAAGCCCATCCTTATCTCTCCCCTTCCAAAGCCTGCTGGCTAACCACCCGGCAGGTTGTGGCCGAGCTCTGCCTTCTGCGCGGGGGGACCCAGCCGCAGGCAGGGCTCAGGTGCGGGCAGGATCCCTCTGCATCGCTGGCCTGGCCGCTGCCCAGAGATTTCTCTTTCCAGACACCGTCGTGCCACGTTAACCGCATCCTTCTCTCGACATCAAAGGTTTCCCCCAGCACACTCCTTTCTTTCACTTTAAATAGCTCCCAGTGTTGTCCAGGATCCTTTCGATGACGTTAGGAGAAAGGCGCTTTCCTTGAAGTTCAAGGAGCCAGTTCCCAGTGGCCGAAGGCAGCACTAAACTGCCCTTTTATCTGGCGCTCTAGGTCTTAGGAATTAACTTCACCGTTAACTCAAAATAGGTATTTAAAAAAAAAATCACAAAAGAGGCTTCTCTGTGCAACGAAATTTTATCTAGCTTCCCAAAGATTGTATGTATACATGTTTTAGAGCGAATGCCAAAAAAAAAAAAAAAAAAGAAAAAAAAAAAAGTTCCTCTCCAGCAGGCTAACACGAGTCCATTTTTCATGTCCTCACCTTACTTTTTTTGTGTGTGTCTTAAACAGGACTTGGAGAAGCCTGGGGCCACTCTAGTCGAACCAGCCCTCTGGATAATGTTGGACGGGAACTGGGATCCCATCTTTTGCAGGTACTGGTCTGGAAACCACAGCCATATGGTATTAATGATTAAAGAAATCATTCCCTCTTCTGAGCTTTTAATTGCAACCTTGACTAATTTTTAACTGCTCACGTGTTTAATAAAAAAAAGGGGGACACACACAACATGACTTCAGAAACACGAACAGTCGCTGTTGAATGTCGTGCTTTGTAATGGGGCGGTGGTTTGGTCCCCCCGGATCCTTTGCCCCAGCGCTGCCCAACACGGGCTTCACAGCGTATCCCGGTGTGCCGGGATTCAGGAGCATGATGACTTTTTCCCAAATTATTAACAAGGTGACAAGTCCCGTCAAAGCTCTGAACCTCAGGGTGGTGTAGAGACAGGGAGAGGCTCTGGAGACAGGTTAGGGGGGGCTGTCCCAGACAGGAGGGCTCAGCAGGCACAGAAATGAGGCATAAATCAGGTAGGACGCATTTCAAAACTCACTACGGTCTGGAATATTGAGGAATATTAGCGGTCACCGTCACCGCTCATTTTTGGTGGGGTTGTGTGGCCCTTGGGAGCCTATTCTACTCTCGGCACAGCCAGGTCTGCTGAAACGTGCCTGATTGTCTCGCCCCTTTCAGATCTTATTTACACTGCAGAGAGTTTTAGATCCTCCTCTCTCGCTTAAAGTCTCCTTAGCAAATATCAAGCGCTAAACCCCCAGTGGCATTTGAAATGGGACAAAAAGAAGTATTTAGGATTTCTCTGACCGACATATTAATCACCGGCTAGCCAGGACCTCTTCCTAGGTACTTCCCAGGCACTTTGCTTTACTTTTGAGCTCGGCTCCTCTGAGAAGTGGGTCGTATCTCGGGGGTCCAGGAGCTTTAGTGGGATTCTTTTCCAGGACTTGCCCATTTCCTTCCAACTTTTGGAATAGTCACAGCATCAACAGGGATGCCTGTTTGCTAAAATAAAACCGAGGGTCAGGTACTTAATGAACCTGTCTTCATGGGTGGATCTATCTGTGTCTATTGATACATCTGTACTTCCCACCTCTCAAACGTTTGTTGTTTTTTTTTTGCAGACGTTGGACGGTTTCATATTTGTCGTGGCTCCGGATGGCAAGATCATGTACATCTCGGAGACTGCCTCGGTGCACCTGGGCTTGTCGCAGGTACGCTGGGGGGGGCACTAGCCCCCGTGCCTGCCTCCTCCCCCGGCTGATAGGGGAGGTGCGTGCGGGGAGGGTGAGCGGTGCCGGCGATGAACCCCTTCCTCCTCCCCCTCCTCCTCCTCCGCCCTCACAGGTAGAGCTGACCGGCAATAGCATTTACGAATACATCCATCCCGCCGACCACGACGAGATGACGGCGGTGCTTACGGCCCACCAGCCTTACCACTCGCACTTTGTGCAGGGTAAAGTACACGGCCCTCCGCCCCTGCTTGGCCTGCGCGGCCGCGGAGGGGACCGCGGAGTCCTCGGCGTCAGGACCACCCCCTCCCCCTCCCCCAACAGCCCCTAGCCTTCCGCGCCCCTTCCCCGGCACAGCCGAGCACGCAGGGCGGGCGGCGAGAACGGGAACAGGAGAGGGGGTGAGCCCTCTGCCCGCGGGGGCTGTCCCAGCCCGTTGCTCTTTCATGTGGTCCAGAGCCAGAATTTCTCTCGGAGTTTCAGGTTAAAGAGTTCAGGACCACCCCCTCCCCCTCCCCCAACAGCCCCTAGCCTTCCGCGCCCCTTCCCCGGCACAGCCGAGCACGCAGGGCGGGCGGCGAGAACGGGAACAGGAGAGGGGGTGAGCCCTCTGCCCGCGGGGGCTGTCCCAGCCCGTTGCTCTTTCATGTGGTCCAGAGCCAGAATTTCTCTCGGAGTTTCAGGTTAAAGAGTTCCAACCACAAAACCCAATAATCGAGCTCCCCGTGGATTTTTTGTTTTGTTTTGTTTTATTTTGCTTTTTAAACCGAATCTCGCATAACCACTGACGTTCCCGAGGTGTCTGTGGAAGCTGTCAGGTGACGCAATGGGAGCCCTGGGTTAATTTATTTCTTTATTGGGTAACTTGTTGCCTTCAGGGGCAGCTTTCCAAGTCAAGGGTTTTGCTCGGGTCCTTCACACAGTTGTGCTCAGGGCTCCTCGGTGGGGACAGCCCTTGCTCCCCGACCTTCCCCTTGCTTTTGTGTCCGCTGCACAATGCTGAGAACAGTCGGTACCTATAATCCAAGCAGATGTTGTGCCATGACGTACTGTAGAACAAGAACATCTGTTGAACCTGCTCCGGGAAGAAACATCCTAACAATAGAGAAGTAAGGGTGGAAGTACACAGCAGTCATCTGCAAGGATACATTTAGGAGACATACCTAATTCGACGTCCAGAGACACGTTCTGGCTACAGATCGCGCCTGCTCTATCTATATAATAGACATATCTTACACATGTGACATACGCACACATGTAAACTCTTTCTCTCACACGCATACACTCTTCATTACAAAGTTGTAACTGGCTTGGCACTTCCGCGTCTTTCCTTTTTAGAAGAATAATAAAAGCGTAGTTAGGAGGTGGTCCAAAAACCACTTAAGTCAGTGGAAAAAAAAATCTCGTTGAGTTTAATGGGCCTTAGATCAGTGCCGAACTCTCGCATGGAAAAAAAAGCAACCCAAAAAGAAAAGCAGAAAACCCGCAGACGGTGCCGCTTTGCCGGAGCGGTGGCGCGGGGC